AGGAGTGGCTGGTGGGTTTGAACCCAGCCTTCTGGTTAACAGTCAAGTGCCTTAGGCACTATGCCACCAGAGCTCCCCCTTAAAGATTATAGCCTAGGAAACCCTATGAGGCAGTTCCACTCTGTCACATGGGTTATCATGAGTGGAAATTGACTTGATGGCATCTAACAGCAATATTCATGACACACACACAAGTGTTAGCTTGAACATTAACACACTTGATTCAGGCATCTCTAACAGGGACCATGATCCTAGAGTTGAACAACGCTTCCCTAAGAACAGTCTCATACACAGCCAGAGATATTTGTTTAACTTGTAGCACGCTGGCACTGAGAGACTCTTCATGTATTTCATGAGCCCACTCTACTGGAAGGGTCCAAGCAATCTGAGTTATTGGGGGCCTCCTGGTGACCTCTTGGCTCAAAGAGCCATTCTCTCATGAACCCTCTCTTCATTTTGCTGATACTTCCCCAAGTGCAAAAAGGGAAACAGAACAGTCTAAATTTTATTTATGTGGATAAAAGCACAGTGGGATTTGATTTTGCACTGCTAGGCACTTGCATTATCTCGTTTTGTTTGTTTGTTTTACATTCATGTTGTTTTCCCTTTTCTTAAGGGGATTCCCTGAGTCAAGTTCATCTGAAGAAGAGGAAAACCTGAATGACTATGAGTGAGTGTTGAAAACTCGCCGTGTTCCTCTAACATTGGTCATGGATGTTTCCATTTTATTCCTCAAAGGCATGAAAGCAGAAGGCTCAGAATTGCTCAGGAGCCTGTATCTACACAGGCAAACTCACGTGAGAGGTTCTGGGCCATTTATGTAGATGACGGGTGACAACGAGCTAAAGTATTATGGGTGAAAATATTTTCTGCCATCTGCATTATCTAAATTGGCTGCGTTCATTGGGTTTATTATATAACCTATGTTAACTTCAATTTACTTTGTTTCTGTAAATACAGGATAAAAGAATGTAGATATGGTGTTTCCACTGATTACTTACTCCCTGGGGATCTCTTTGGTCAGGGTACCTTCTGGAAACTCTTATTAACCTTGACACTGATTGTTTTGAAGTTATTTATAATGCAGTATTTCTACGAGGTACCACAACTGAGACCTTTGAACATGATAGCATTTATGTTGACAGATTCGTAGTCTTAGGGTGATCTTGTCGTTTAACATTAACATTTAACAGAGTGCACTATTAAAAATTATACCTAGACACCAGGGAGAAACTGGAATGTTCTGGACAAACAAGGATGAGCAGTCACCCCACCTCTACTGAACAACAGCTTGGTCTAAGGGGCCATTGAGGTCCATTACAAAACCTGAGATTCTATCATTCTACAAATTGTTGTTATTTGCCGTCGAGTCGGCCCCGACTCATAGCGACCCCTCCTTGGGTTTCCGAGGCAGTATCACTACGGAAGTAGGATTGCCCAACCT